TACCTCCTCGATCTCTGCTACCTCGACTTCAGCCGCGCTCCTCTCCATATGGAGTAGGGTCACACTCCTACTCTTACAATCGACCAAGTTCTGCGCGATTTTAGATAGCAAATCAGCTCGACCATTCTCCCCTCGAGGTATCTGTATTAACTCAAATGTCCCAAATTCTTCCTTTAACTTTCTCATGTTGTCCACATGACGCTGCAGCCGATCCTCCTTGATCTCGAAACCTTCTTGGAATTGACCGACCACTAATTGAGAGTCGGAATGGACCTGGATTTTTCGAGCGCCTCCTGCCAGAGCCAATTGTAATCCCTTTGTCACCGCTTCATTGTTTGATACTCGAAATCCCATTTTGACGGCAAATTCTAAGTAATCCCCCTTGGGCGAAATCAAGACTATCCCCAAGCCAGCCCCACTCCTCGACACCGAGACGTCCGCGAACAACTGCCACACTCCTTCGTCATCTTCCTCCTCCTTCGTACCTTCCTGTATGAAATCGGCCAAAACCTGCGCTTTGATTGCCCTCCTTGGTTCATATATTATAGAGTATTCGCTCAGCTCGACCGCCCACTTTACTAGCCGACCAGATACTGCTGGTCGACCTAAAGTCTGCTCCAATGGCATGTTTGTACGCACGTTGACCTTGTGGTTTAGGAAATATGGCCTCAACTTTCAGACTGTCACGACCAATGCACACTTCTCAATTTCCGAGTATCTCAACTCTGCTCCTTGCATCACTCGACTAACATAGTATACTGGGAACTGCGCCACTCCCTATTCTCGCAATAATACTGGGCTTACTGCACTCTCGCCCACCGATATGTAGAGCACAAGTTCCTCTCCATGGATTGGCTTGGCCAGTAAGGGCAAGTTAGCCAGCGTCTCCCGCAGCTCCTCGAAGGCCTTCTGGGCTTCCTCCGTCCACTGAAACTTCGAGCTTTTCTTCAGAGTTTTGAACAGAGGGCTGCTCTTTTCAGCCACCTTGAAAATGAATCTGCTTAGCCATGCTATTCGACCAGTTAGTATTTGGACTTCCTTCACATTGGCCGGTGGCTTCATTTCGATCACAACTCTTACTTTCTCGGGATTCACCTCTATGCCCCGCTTTGTCACCATGTATCCCAAGAACTTCCCTGCCTTTACAGCAAACGAGCACTTAGCCGGGATGAGCTTCATGCTGAACCTCCTCAGTGTTTGGAAAGTCTCCCTCAGGTCGCCCACGTGGTCCACCTCTATCTTACTCTTTACCAGCATGTCATCGACATACACTTTCATATTCCTCCCCAACTGGTCTTTGAAAATTTGGTCGACCAACCGCTGGTAAGTGGCCCCGGCATTCTTTAATCCAAACGGCATGACTACATAACAATAGGTGCCTTTGCTTGTTATGAAGCTCACCCTCTTCCAGTCTTCTTTCGCCAAGGGGATCTGATGATACCCCTGCGAGGCGTCCATCAAGCTAAGCAACTCACACCCCGCCGTGGGGTCTACCAGCTGGTCGATCCTTGGCAGCGGGTATAGATCTTTCGGGCAAGCCTTGTTTAGATCACGGAAAAATCGATGCACATCCTCCACTTTCCTCCCGGTTTGGACACCATTACCGTGTTAGATAACCACTCAGAGAACAACTGAATCTTCTTAATGTGCCCGGCGTTCATCAGCTTGTCGACCTCCTGCTCGATGATTTTGTCTATTTCCGCACCATGATGTCTCCTCTTTTGCTTTACCGGCCTCACACTGAGATCAATATTAAGTCTGTGCTCGATCACCCTGGCTTTGATCCCCGTTAGTTCATCCGTTGTATACGCGAAAACGTCTGTAAATTCCCTTATTAAATTGATCAGCTTCGACCTAGTTGGCTCTCCCAAATCTTTTCCAATCCTGAATTTTCGGTCATCGCACCCCTGTACCATTTGAATTTCCTCAATCTCTTCTCCGGGCTGTATGTCTATCTCCTCCTTTCCCTTGTCTTGTCCTCCTCTTTCCTCTTTCGCTCGTGTCCCTCCTGGTCGATCAGGCCTCACTTCCTTGCCTTTCAACTACCTTTCTGCCATCTGTTTGTTGTTACTGACTGTGGTTTGATAGCAACTCCTCGACGTGAGATGGTCCCCCGAAATCTCACCTACATTTTCCCCCACAGGATATTTGATCATCATGTGGTATGTAGACATGACCGCTTGGAACGCGTTTAAACCTGTCCGCCCTAAAATGATATTGTAAGACGATTCTGCTCCGACCACTACAAACCGGATCATTCTTACTTTCCTCGAGTCGCCCGACCCCAATGCTACGGTCAGGCTCACTTCGCCCATTGGCATTACCTCTCCACCGTTAAACCCGTATAAAGCTATCGCCACCGGTTTCAGTTCCAGATTCAGGTGTTTATTGATCTGCGCAAAACAATCG